TGGCACTCCCTCAGCTCTGACTCTCCGACAGTGTGGCACTCCCTCAGTACTGACCCTCCAACAGTGCAGCACTCCCTCGGTGTTGTAATGCAAATATCAACTTTGATTGAGATTTAAGGTATAGTTAAATTCAGAAAGAGCAACAGAAACAGAAATTGCTGAAGAAACTCATCAGATCTGGCAGTGTCCGTGGAGAGAAGGCAGAGTTAACATGACAAGTTGAGTTCTGAAGAAGGGTCCCTGGACCTGACATATTAACTCTGTTTCTTTCTCCACAATGCTGCCAGACCTGCTGAGTTTCTTCAACACTTTCTGGTTTTTGTTTCAGATCTTCAGCATCTGCCATTTTTTTAGAATCTTGTCCTTTGTTGAATTCATAAGTTCCCATCTCACTGCTGAGATGAGTACTCTCTCTCAGTCAGAGCTGACACTTTGATAGCACACAATAGCTTAGAAACCTGTACACAGAGGTAATCTGTTTCCAAGCTCTTTTGTTTCATGCACAGTTCTCTATCCCCTCATCTCTCTCTCTCTCTCTTTCCCTCCTACACCTGTCCATCCAAATCTCTCTTGCACACTTTCTCCAATCTGAGTCTCTCTCTCTGCTTGTTAACTGCTTCCCGTCTGTCTCTCTCAGTCCAACATTCCCAGGTCTTTGTTATTCTCTCCGTGTGGAACCCCTTCTCTCTAGAGCTGCTTACCCACCTCCTCCCCCCCTCCCACCACCAACACTCTCTCCCTGTCTCCTGGTTTAGGGGCAGCTTCCCACACACACACACACACACTCACCTCTTCCTTCAGTCTCATGGACCTCGCTTTCCTCCAGCCCGCCGAATATCCGTGCCAGACTGCTCTTGCCCACTCGGTGTTCGCCCAGCAGGACCACCTTGTACAGATTGCTGTCTGAGTCACTGCCGCTGGAGCTGAGGGACTCGGAGGAGCCAGATGCTGGCCTGTCCCGCTGAGGGGGCAGGCCCGGGTTGAAGGAGGTGCAGCGGACCAGGTTAGTCAGGGTCCCCCCCTGCAAGGAGGCGCACAGCTCCCGCTCATCCACTGGCATACTCCGGCGGTGGGCATGCAGTGGGGTACTGCCCCGTCTCCTCTCCAATGCCCGGCTCTTGTCCGTCTTGTTCAGAGTCATTGCCCTATCCCTGAGGGGGGCAGATAGGGGGAGAGAGACAGGGAGAGGGGAGGAAGGGAGGGAGAGGGGAACAGAGACAGGCAGACAGAAAAGATGTTTTCTTCAGAAAGTCAATATTACGAGTAAAGAAATTCTTGTGGATTTGTTTTAACAAGCGAGAAGCCTGCAATGTACCCGGGGAAATAGCTACATGCGTGGCCTGTCTCAGAGCCACTAGGGCCATGAGCAGGCAATTCGGCCCTTCCAACCTGTTCCATAATTCATAGTGAGAATGGGGGATCTCATATCTGAATGCCATCTTCCTGCCTTCTCCCCAGACACCAGGACACCTTTACAAATTATCATGTTAGAACTGTCTTGAACATTAGGAATTTTCAGATTGGACTCAGTCCTGTTCGGGTGAATGTGGGAAGGGGGGGAGCTGCGGAGAAACAGGAGAGGGACAATTGTCTGGAATTATGTCAATCAGGGCACCACCCTCATAAAACCGGATCTGATAGCAGCATCAGAGCTACAGGAGTGCCGCACTGTCGGAGGGTCAGTACTGAGGGAGTGCCGCACTGTCAGAGGATCACCACTGAGGGGGTGCCACACTGTCAGAGGTCAGTGCTGAGGGAGTGCTGCACTGTCGGAGGGTCAGTGCTGAGGGAGCACCGCACTGTCGGAGGGTCACTACTGAGGGAGCACCGCACTGTCGGAGGGTCAGTACTGAGGGAATGCCGCACTGTCAGAGGGTCAGTGCTGAGGGAGTGCCGCACTGTCAGAAGTCACTACTGAGGGAGCGCTGCACTGTCGGAGGGTCAGTGCTGAGGGAGAGCCGCACTGTCAGAGGCTCAGTGCTGAGGGAATGCCGCACTGTCAGAGGTCACTACCAAGGGAGTGCTGCACTGTCGGAGGGTCAGTGCTGAGGGAGTGCCGCACTGTTAGATGGTCAGTGCTGAGGGAGTGCTGCACTGTAGGAGGGTCAGTGCTGAGGGTGTGCCGCACTGTCAGAAGTCACTACTGAGGGAGCGCCGCACTGTCGGAGGGTCAGTGCTGACGGTGTGCCGCACTGTCAGAAGTCACTACTGAGGGAGTGCTGCACTGTCGGAGGGTCAGTGCTGAGGGAGTGCCGCACTGTCGGAGGGTCAGTGCTGAGGGAGTGGGCACTGTCGG